CTGTGCCACAGCACACAAGGACCCTCCACTGAGGACTGTCCAGGGAGTTGCAGTTTGGTTGGCTCCCCTAGGTTTGCTAGCACAGGAGGTGTGATCTGACCAAGCAGTGATATAGAGCTGGCATATCATTGTGAGGCAAGCATTAGGGTGGGGGGCAGTGCTGCCAGCTTAGCCATGAAGGGACAGGGCCACTGAAGGTGTTGGGCCACTGAAGGTGTTGAACTCCGTGCAAAGGGGCCATCAGGGTGCATTTCCTTTGGAGCCAGCATTGGGTGGGGTGGAGAGAACCTTGGTGTGAAGGGGTGATAGAGCCCAGAGGAGGCAGAGGAAAGGCAACTGGGAGGAGAGTGTCTCTTTTGCCCTCACTAACAATGCACTCCTTTTGTTTTCAGCTCTGGAGCACATACTCTAACACTAAACAAGATTGTGCCACATATATGTAATTTACTTGGAGACCCAAACAGCCAGGTGAGTGAAACAGAAAATCTTAGGGAAAAATCATTGATTCAGATGCAATAAAGTGTTCTATGTATGTCTAGTAGGTGGGTGGGACTTTATTCATCTTTACAGAGCTCTGATTATTATATGTGCTGCCAAAGCGAGCCCAGCAGAGCTCTGATTATTAAGACATCAGCTACTCATTTGTTTTTGAAGTATTATCAGCAAGTGTGACCACTCTGCCTTCTTCTACTGGTAGGATTGAAAAATCACTCTTGTAAATTGATGTCATCAGATCAGCCTCCAAGATAAAACCAATATGGTCACTATTGCTGCAGCCAAAAAGGGTGGAAGTAGGGTAGAGGGAGAGTAATTAGTAATTTGAAAGGCACCTAAAGGGACTTCCTGTGCTTTGGGTGGTAGCCATACTGGGGTATGTTACTGTCGAAGGTCCCTGAACTGTACCCTTAAGAACTGTGCTTTATGCAAACTTTAAAATTGAAAGAAAAACACAAGCACCGTGCCCTTGGTGTAAACATTTGAGACAGGATCTGGACATTTGCTCTGCGGTCAGAAGGCGTCCCCATCAGGTGACACCTGCTCTGTGGTTATTGGGCACTTTGGGAAGCTTGACACATCTGGGCTCCAGCAAGGCCATCTCTCACCCAGTTCAGTTCTGCTCATCCAGAGTAATTTTCTTTTCTCTTTTCTCTTTTCTCTTTTCTTTTTCTCTCCCCCTGTTTTCTTTCTTTATCTTTTTCAGAGTCATTTTTATTACATCAGCTCATATAAATGGATAGAAAAATACTTCTTTCATTAGAGGGGCAGAAAATGGGGCAATAATTTACAGGAGACATGTCCACAGTAGACAGGTGTCTCAGCTTAAGTCTTGACTGCACATTACCCCCTGTAGAAGTCCCATGAGCTCTTCTTCCGCTTGACTCACACCGGCACTGAGGTCCTTCCAGGTCTGCAGTTCTCCTCTGCTTCCTCCTCATCTTTGCTCTTGGGTCCAGTAGCTGACAGCATCTCCCCTTTTCTTTGGCATCTTTTGTGCTGCCTGTGTCTTTTGTCTCCCTTGTTTCTTTCGTCCAGCCATCACCGAAGGTGTATGGCATGGAAGTACAGTTTTTAGATGTATTCAGTGTAAGTTTTAAAATGACCTTAACACTCTTAACACTTGCTCTCCCCACTGCTGCTGACTTTAGTCTTATTTTCTGTAGGAAAAAAATCCTTTACATAGCTCATACTTGAAGAATGTGACTGCTACCACATGGTGTCCGTTAATTGTGCAGAAGGGCCATCTTGTCAGTTGAGATTATTTGTCCTTGATTCAGATGCCCCCATTGGCCGGAGAGGTGAACATTTGCATCTGGCCTGTGGAGACTTTTGATCCTATAGGCAGGGACTAGCTTCCCTAAGTGCACTTCAGTTGTGGAGGCCAAGTGAAACATAGAGCTGGTAGACACTGTCTAGGACTGGTATATGACATTGTCTTGAATCTGGTTGGGGCGGGGAGGGACCCCATTGCAGTCACAGCCCTGCATCTCTGCACCACACCATGGTGCACTTCAGTGTCCTTCCTCTGCCCATTTTTGCCCTTCTGCACACTCGCTTTGAGCTTCTGCTGCAGACCTGCCTTATCAGGATTGGTGCTTGGGCTTTGGAGACGGGGATGGGAAAGGTCATAGCTTGATTTTGTTTTTGAGCCTCAAATTGTGTCAGTAAGCAAGATGGGACACCATCCTCCAAAGGAACTGATAGCAAATGACTTATTCAAGGACCCTCTACTCATGTGTTCTGGGGAAATAACATACATATTTCCCTACCTGAGGAGGGTCACCGTGAATTTGAGGCCAGCCTGGGCTATATAGTGAGTTCAAGGCCTGCCTAAACTACATAGTGAGAGGGCTAGGGATATTTAGCTCAGTGGTTCCGCCGCCTGCCTCGCAAGCACAAGGTCCCGAGTTCGATCCCTAGTACCAAAAAAGAACTACATAGCAAGACCCTGTCTCAAAAACAATGAAATAAAAAATGTATTTCCCTGCCTGAAAGATGATAGGTTCCATTTAGGTTTTGAGGAACATTGGAAGCAGAATGTTGAAAACATTTAAAGTTTGGAACTGTGACATTCTTGTCATTGAAGCCATTCAGATAGGGCTTCAAGAAACTGATTTTTCACAGGTTTTTCTTTCTTCTGATGTTTTCTGCTGAGAAAGCCTCAGTTAGCAGTCTCTGTCCCATCACCAGCACTGGGAAGTTCTCTGAAGATTCTGTAAATGAGATGGGAGGGACTGATCTGTGCTGGTCGGGCAGTTCCCGATTCAGCTTTTCTTCTGTAGGTCTAGAGAAGGGGTTAGCTTGTAAGGTCGCTAGACATTTTAGCAAAGTTTTTCTTATTTTAGAAATAGCACAGATTAAATTTCACATGAACATTGTAATCCCACATTGTGAAAATTTTGATTCAGTTGTTGAAGAAAGTAAGATGGTATTAAGTGTTAGACAGTTCAAAATAGTGTTTTAAAGCTGTCAAAGGTAGAGTATGGATAAAACTTGGAGCTGCCTTGTGCAGTGCGGGAATCCTGCTTTAGAGAGGTAGGCCTAGCATATATCCTGCCTTTGTGTGTGACAGCAGCTGACCTTGGTAGACATTTGCATCTTGACCCTCAGTTTCTCTGTTAGTGAGGACAGTCATAAGTGCTTTGCTCTCCATTCCTTGTGGAAGTGCTTGAGGGTTGGGGGTTGATTCTTTTTAGTTGCTGGCATGACATATTGGACCCTTAGAAGTTACTCAGCAGAGTGGCTTAATATGTTACTTTTCATTTGAAGAAATCACACACCTGCCACATTGAGTGGGTTTCTGAGAAACTCTTAGATGTGTATATATTTTATTATATGAAAATACTTAATTGTAGGATAATATTAGTGTTTGAAATGTATTTGTGATATTGGCATAACCTTATCTTGTTTTAAATGTTGGGAGTCCTAGTTAAACTATACACATGCGTCCATTTCCAAGAATCAGTGTCATTATCAAAAGTCAAGTGCTCCTGGACTATTGATAGTAATAATACAACTTGAAAACCAAATACCTTCAAGTGGAATTGCATCTCACTATTCTAAATAACCATCATAAAAATTGCTTAATTTTTCTTTCTTTCCTTTTTAAATGATGGAGATAGTTTGTTTTTTATAAGATGGCAAATATAAGACTTGTTTAACATGTTTACAAGGAGGCCGTGCATGCATGATTGTCCCATTGGGCAGCTTGTACGCCTGGTAGTTCAAGTCTACAGAAATGTGTTTAAGATGTTGCATTAAGTGGGCAATTCTAGTCCCCATTTCCTGAATAGCATCTACTGTGTGTTTGAAGTTTGTGTGACTCCGATTTGGAGAAAGTTCTTGTTTGTTTTTTCATTTTTCCCCTCATCTGTAAAATGAGACGGTACTCTACAGGCAGATTTTAGTATTATGTAAGAAGGTAGGAATCATGGTCTAAGGATTCGAGGCTTTGCACTCTGAAAATAAGTTTTCCCCCTAGAGTTTAGGTGAGCTTAAATTTGGGATATGAATGCTTCTAACTTTTCTCAGAAGTATAGACACTGGCAGTGCTGTGCCTACATTTCTCTGTAGCCAAGTGTGGTGGCCTTGTATGTCCAAATGTCCATTTTTCCTCTTAACCATCCCAGCAAGGTCTCCTATCCATGCCACATGTCATCCGGCATAGAGCCCACTCCACTCATCTATCATATGCCACCTTGCCTATGTGGGCATTTTGGTTCTTCACCTGGTAAGCACTCAAATACTTGTTGAAGGGAACCCTTATTTCTTTCAATCCTCATAGCTTCCCTCAGATTTGGAGGAAATTGAATTGAAAAGTGTTAAAGTGTTGTTTCCAAGGTCACACAGCTCCACAGTGGCCAAGTAGTTCTTTATGTCTGCTTCTTTTTCTGAAAAAAGTAATTCTTCCACTAATTCTCCTCCTTTTGTAGGTGGGATACTAAGGATTGAATCCAGGACCTTTGCACTGAGCTACATTCCCCTGCCCTTCTTTATTTTTTATTTTCAGAAAGTGTGTTGCTAAGTCACTAAGTTGCCCAGGCCGGGCTCAAAATTGTAGTCCTCCTGCTATTAACAGTTTATGGCTCAGACTTTCTGAATACTTTCTGAGTAACTGGCTAGATACTGATTGCTCTTCAAGGAGACCACACGGTGTGATGAGCAGATGTAATCACAAAAAGTAAACAGAGATGATGTACTTTATGATATAGTGACTTGACTACTTTTGTTTTTATGTGAAAATGTTTCCTAACTTTAAAATGATTTCTTTTCTAAAATAACTGATAATGTACTAGGCAGCTCTAGCTGCTGTAACAAAATACTATAGACTGTATGGCTAAAATAGCAAAACTTTTATTTTCTCACAGTTTGGGGATCTTGAAGTCTGGGATCAGGGTGGCAGCTTGGTTGGATTCTGGTGAGGGCCTCTTTCTGGCTTGCAGACAGCTGTCTTCTCTCTGTGTTCAATACGACCTCTTATTTGTGTGTGCACTGCTCTGTTGTTTCTCTTAAGGTCACTCTAATCCACTCATTTCAGGGCCATCCCTCTGTAGCCTCGTTCAACCTTAATTTCTTCCTTAGAGCCCCTATTGCCACATACAGTAACGTTAGGGGTTAGGGCGCCAACATGTGAATTTTGGTGGATACAAATCACCCCACAGCATAACATTTTGGAGGACAAGATAATATGACCTAGAATTTACCTTTTCCAACAGAAGAGAGAAAATGATGAATGAAGTTACATGTCACTGGACACTGGTAAAGGGTAACTGGCAGTATTCCAAATTGTAAATTATTTGTATGCCTGCTTTTTCCTTCTTTCCTTCACTCTCCATTACATTGATTTCATTGCTCAAGACTGAATCTAAAACCATGTTGCTCCCTCATCTTTGTCTACTAAAGTACACACAACCTTTCACCAATACCACCTGGCCTTCATTTCATTCTATATTAAATTATTTTTCTCCCTATTTTTATTTGCAAACTTTTAAACTTATGGAAAAATTAAAGAGTAATATCATGAACACCCAAATTTTACACTTTACTTTTTGTCACATTTGTTTTACATCTATTTGTGATTATATACATATATATGCAACTATACATTTTTTTCTGAACCGTTGGAAAGTGACATGCAGATACAGTATTTTTACCTCTACGTACTTTAGTGTGTATCATCTCGTAACAAGGTTCTTTAAAATATAACCATGTCATTTTGCACCCAAGGAATGTAACACTGATATAGTGATATTGTTTGATATACAGTCCCTATTCAAATTTCTCCAAATTAAGGGGGGAGATGGGGAAGAACTTTCCTGTTCCTTAAGCCTTATTTTGTGCTTTCTTAGTTCATGTTTGTGTCTGTCTGGATAGGCATGCTTGTCCTTCCTGAAGCATTCACTGACACCTCTGCATTTTTGCCTTTGCCCAGCCTGTACCTTCTTCAGAACCTGGCACCTGTCTTATTCCATGTGGACCTGGCAACATCCTGTCCTTCCAGGCATATTCCAGGCAGTCTCAACCTCTTCTGTAAAGCATTTCCTGACATATGCTGATGTGATTGTTCCCTCCTTTCTACTATGATCTTTGTGCTCTTGAATAACATATATGGCATCCTACACGATATTAAATGTGGATCTTACGGACTTTTTTCCTTGCTCTTTTGAGGACTGTGAGCTCCTTAAATATGGGATCTCTGTAGTCTGTACTGCACATTTTTGTTGCTCACTAAATATTTTGTTTATGAGCCTTAAATACAGGGTGTTTTACATGATATTTTACTTTTAGTTATGATTCATTTGTGGTGTTGTTTTCTGTTTTGGAAAGATGGCCTGAAAATTCTAATTTCCCGATGTACATTCTAAAAAATGGAAAGTAGTAAAGGGTATGGACTTTAACATGTACATAGGGGTGGGACCCTCCCTTTTTTACTACCTTGGGGATTGTGTCAGTGGAGGAAGATGGTTCACCATTACTGTCTGGTCCAATATGTATAAAGGGATTCCATTCATAGTTGCACTGATAAATTGGTGATAAATTGGGGTGGAATGTAGCCTATTGTGTCCCAGCAGGAAATGCTAGGGCATGACACAGCAGCTATAAGATTTCTTCTCTTACATCTAGGTTCGAGATGCAGCAATAAACAGCTTAGTGGAAATTTACAGACATGTAGGAGAACCGGTGAGGACAGATCTCAGTAAAAAAGGATTGCCACAGTCCCGGTGAGTGCAGACTTTTTCCTTTTTTCTGCTTTTTCCCTTATTCTTTTTCAGATACTACCTTGGTCTTTACTACTATTTCTGATGTAATTTTATTCAAAGACTCCATGGCTAGAGGGTTGGTGTTTGGAGATCTTGTTCAGATCATATGTCAGCGGTTCCTTCCCATTCCACCCCTTCAGAAATAAGATTCTCATGCACACGTCTGGCTCAATCCTGTGCCTCCTCCTGATTTTGGGAGCACCTTTAAAAGTGATTGGTGCTGAAACATTCCACACTGTCATGGTTTCTTTACTCTACACACAATGCTTAATATAGCAGGTGCTTGCAATATATTTGTTTAAATGAATGAAGCTTTTCCAGAATGCATCTGGCTAGAAATACATGAATAATAGTTCTGGAAAATATCTTTGAAGTGTTTTCATGTCACTTTCTGTCTGTAGAAGGCAACACAAGGACGGCACTCACATTTTACTAGACCCAAGACAACTTGAGTCCACAATGATTCATTATTATAGTCAGAATTTTTAAAGTAATGTAACAATTGGACATCTATCATTTTAACTTTGTTGGAGAAACTTATTACCAAAGGAATTCTAAACCTTTGCCATACACTGTTGCTTTAAGGGAGAAAGTGATGTGAAATTGCAGGACAGTCACAATGGCAGTGCTACTCACAGAGCAGCTTGTCTGGCCTGTCCTTTGTTTATGTAGACAGCAGGCACCTAGAGACATGAATTGACTTTTGGGAGACTTCACAGTTAGAGTCAGAGCTGAGATTAAAACTTGTCCTTCAGATTAGCCTTTTAATTTTCTGTGCCCTGTTACACAAAAGTTTACAGAGTATTGGGATAGAGTACTGAAATAGTGTACAGGAGTCATCTGTCTCGGGATCTATCTGGCTCTTGTGGTAGAAGTGAATTGTGCTTTTCTGCTGTGGAGTCAGACCTGATCCCAGTGTTATTTTCACTGTGGCTCCCGTGCTGTGTATAAGATAATTATGAGGAAATAAAACTGCTTTTCATCTGTTTAATCAAAAATAATCTATGAAGCCAGAGTTACAGGTTGAGCATCCCTAATCTGAAAATCTGAAATCTGAAACACTCTGAAATCCAAAACTTGAGAGTTTGTGCTGAACTGGAAAAGTCTATGCAAATACTCTGTCCCCAACCAAAAAAGAACCCCCAGAAACCCTGCATAACATCTGGAGCACTTCTGTTTCCAAGCACATCATATAAGGGAGACTCAACCTGTGTGTATCTGGTTTTTGAAGCTCAGCCTTCTGGTTGCTGAATATATGGTGAGAACACTTAGGAGTTAGAAGAACTTAATGACAGTACTGACAGTCTCTTTAGGAAAATCAGAGTACACCGGTAAGTAGAGAGGGCTCTTGGAAGATGAAGTCAGCATTATCCCTTTCCTGCTGCAGGATTGGCTTCATACCTGCCTTGTAGCTCATGCTGGCCCCATGGCATGAAACACCACTTTAACAGTTACTGTCTTACACACTGGCTTCCTATGCATTGTTGGAAGATAACTGCAGCAAATTAGAAATCGGGGGAAATGACCAAGAGAAACCAAAATATGGGTAGTTGAGTATAGAAGGCCTGAGATCATTGACCTGAGAAGAGCCTGCTTACAAGTCTGGCCCCAGGCTGGAGGCTGGAAACTTGGGTTTGGGGAAGGTTCCCTCCATTCCCAGAGAGTGGGATGAGAGAAGCTTATGATGTCCCACCTGGATAATACAGTGTTGTTTGAGTTGTGCACCCGCTTTTCTTTGGCAGCCAGGGGTATCTGTGTGACCAACATTCTCTAAACATTCCAGGCACCATCTCTGAGCAAGTTTCCTGGTACACAGCATGCCACTTGTGATGTCACAGCTCTGTACTGGGTGATTTAAGCACGTTTTGTGTGACTCCCCCAAGAGAGATTCTAGAGTCTGGCAATCTCTTCTGACTTCATCCCAGGCTCCAGTCCCCTTTGCCACTTGTTTTCTGTGTCCTTTTGCTATACTAAATCCTGGCTGTGGGGATGACTACTGAGTCCTGTCAGTTGTCCTGGTAAAGCATTAAATCTGAGGTGGTCTTGGGAACTTCAACACTGGGTGCTCAGACAAGGCCCCAAGGCATAGCGCCAGAGTTGGCCTTAAAGCCTCCTTCCCCAGCTCCTCTTCCCCACTCTTAAATTTTGAAAAGAAATCTGCAGAAGACCTTGGACTTCTGAATAGGGACGGAGGTTTCTCTCACTCATTTGCCTAAAATCTTTCCTAAAAATTATGGGGGGAAAATGGAGAAGATTGTCATAGGGAAATGGCTGCATCCTTCATAGCCCTTGTAAAACTCTGGCAGACACAAGTGTCTGGAAAACTGTTCTTTAGAAACTATTATTTAGTGAAACTTCATATTTCTTTGTGCCTATTACAAAATCATAATCTAAGATCTGATACTTTGAGGGTCAAGGGCCTGGTTGATACCTTTATTTTGTTGGGGATGTACCCAAGTAAACTGGGGCTTTTTAAGTATCATACCCTGGTTTGGGAAATTCAGTATCTGCTATATTATGAGGCTCCATGTAGCTGACTTCTCTTACCTCATCATGGGTTGTTGTTATTTTGTGAATATAATGGGGTTTTCAGCTTAGCAAAATTCTGTAGTACTAATAAAATGTTGTAGATTAGGATTTAGTCCTAGAATAAAAATCTTGGTCTACTAAGAATTTGTTCATGGAAAGATCACTATATTTGAGAATACGTTTATATCTCTAAGAAATACAATAAAAAGAATGTTATAATATGAGCTAAATGATTTAAATAAGAGTAGTAATCTCATTTGAGCATTAGTTTTCATTATCCATTTGTTGAATAGTAAGGAAAAGAAACACATTAAACAGCTTCACTTTGGAGGAACTGGGAATAGGGTTTTGGGCCATGGATTAAGTTGTTATAAGTCTTTGTCATCTGGTAGATAAAATCATATTGAGTCATATAATAAGGTAGCAATAGACAACAAAATCTTCATATTAGAGTATCTCTCCACCAAATGGGATCTCATTGAGCTGTGAACCTGAATCAATAGAATGTTTTACCTATTTACATGTATTATTTTTCTTAGTTCATGTATATGGTATGTTCAGAAACTAAGTATATAATTAACTTTTAGCTGAATATGTAATTGTATGATGTTTTGTGAGGCATGCCTCACAATTTAATAAACTGTAAATAACCCATAACTCCATGTGACTTAACTTTTGTAGATGTGTGGTTTCAGCATGCTTTACATTTACTGTCACTCCAAAGACCTCCTGGAAAGGAATTTCAGCATCGTGGTGTATTTCAGTTTGCAAAGCTTTGGAGTAAAGCCAGATTACTGATGTTAAATTTCTTTGGATACTGTTGTTTGGTAACCAAGCTCCTAAAACAGCAGAGGCTTTAAACCTGAAGATAATTTACTTCTAGACAGAGCAAATACATGTTACCTGGTTCATTATGACTATTTGGTATACTTTCTTTGTGAACCTACGTTTTCAGCAGTTCTGATAATATACGCTCTGTTGCTGTCTCAGCCTATTTAAAGCTTACATTCACTCTAGGTATTACTGCATAATGATTGTTTTGGAAGGGGAAAATTAAAACTTTTTATTTTTAGTTTGCTAAAGTTTTAGTGTTACGACTCATGGCAAAAGCGGATGAGAAACTGCTGTCATCCCTTCTCATTAAAAATATTTTTTGGTCATAATAATTTATATGAAGAGAATCAATTAAATTTTTAAATACACTTATAAAAAGTCAGTACGTTACTGCCTCTGCCATTTGTGTCTCAGAAGTAAACCCTGTCAACTATTTTCATTGATTCTTTGTTTTTCACTACTGTTTCCTAATAATACGTATGTATTGCTACTGAAATTTTTTTACCACTTAGATTTTGTGTGTGTGTGTGTGTGTGTGTGTGTACGTGTGTGTACATGTGAGCATGTGTACGCGCTTTCAATGCTGAGGATCAAGCCTAGGGCTTCACATATACTAGGCAAGTACTCTACCACTGCCCTATACCCTCCACTCCACTTTTAGAATCTTATTTCCCACTGTGGAGCATGGATTTCAGCTATCTTTCCTCTGAATATTCTTCATGTGCACTTTTCCATCTCACCTACCAAATGTACATGTATTTTAATTTTTAAGAACAAAATTTAGTTTATACTGTGATTATATATGCTATTCTGGTTCACTATTCATACTTAGTACTATGATTACTTTGCCTTTTCTCATGATCTGGAGCCAGTAATTGCTTTATTTTCCTTTGCATAGTTGGCTGGTTACTGTTTGCGCAGTAGTACCTAGCATACCAACCTCTGTGTGTAGTTATGTAACTCTCCTTCAGCCTATTTCACTCTGGACTGGCTGCCTTCACTGCCTCGTACACTCTCATCAGTCTGATCTCTCGTTACCATCTTGGGGTGCCTTCAGTGCACTTTTCTAGACAGATGCATGTGCATTGGCTTCACCTCTCTGTAGGCACATTCTTGGAGATTAGGTCTTTCTTGGTTAACTTTCTCATTTTAGTTCTGTATGCCCTTCAGAAGCTTTCTGAGAAAAGATGTGGCAAAGGAAAAATTTTTTTTTAAATCTGAGAATATCTTTTTTCTTCCTAGATTTTCAGGGTATGAAAATCTAGTTTGGAAACTATTTTCATACAGAGCATTAATACTTATCTCTATTGCATTTCACTTTTCACTATTTCTATTGGAAAGTGCAAATTCATTCTGATTCTTCTTCCTATGTAGATAACTGATTTACCTTTTTTTTTTTTGGTACCAGGGATTGAACTCAGGACCTTGTGCTTTCGAGGCAGGGAGTGGAACCACTGAACTAAATCCCCAACCCTGATAGCTGATTTACTTTGAAAGGTTGTAGAGTTTTGTGTTTTTTTTCAGGTACCAGGGATTGAACTCAGGACCTTGCGCTTGCAAGGCAGGTGCAGCGCCACTGAGCTAAATCCCTGGGCTTCGGTTGTAGTATCCTGTCTTTTTTCTTTTTCATATAAAGGAATCTTGAATTTTTTTTTTTTTTTTTGGTACCGGGGATCGAACTCGGGTCCTTGTGCTTGCAAGGCAGGTGGTGGAACCACTGAGCTAAATCCTTAACCCTTGAATTTTTTTTTCCTGGTACCAGGGATCAAACTCAGGACCTTGTGTTTGTCAGGCAGGCTCAGTGCCACTGAGCTACATCCCCGGCCCCTGGCAGCTTGAATTTTAATAAGAATTACTTTGAATCTGCAGATGAATTTGAGATATATTGATATCTTTAGTCTTCCAATCTGTGACTGTAGAATGTTTTCACTTTTTAGACTTTAATTTAAACAATTATTTTGTAGTTTTCAGTGTAGAAGTTTTTTACTGCTTTGGTTAAATTTGTTTCTGTATTTCTGTGTGTGTGTGTGTGTGTATTTTTTTTTTCTTTTTTTTTTTTTTTTTTCCTAGACAAGGTCCTGCTGTGTAGCCCAGGCTGGCCTGGAACTCATAATCCTTCTGCCTCACCTCCCCGAGCATGGGATTATAAAACCATGTGCCACTACACCCAGCTACTGCTTCATTTTTTTTTTCTTTTTTGGTACTGGGGATCAAACTCAGCACCTTGCACTTGTGAGACAGGCACGGTGCCACTGAGCTAAATCTCCGGCCCTGTTTCATTCTTTAATGCTAATATAAGTAGAACTTTTTTCTTAATTTCTCTTTCGTGTGGTTTATTATTAATCTATAGTAAACCAGTTGATTTTTTAAAATACTGACTTTGAATTCTGCAACCTTCATGAGCTTGCTTATTGTAATGGTTAGGTTGTAGATTCTTCAGACCATCTGCCAGTAGTTTTACTTTTTCCTTTCTAATATGGATGCTAAAAGCCCTGGCTCGAACCTCTGTATGATGTTGAATAGAACTAATGATTAGAAGAAGTTTTGTTCTTGATCTTAAAGACTAAGTAAGCTTTTATTAGTCATCTACCATCACTTGTAATGTTAGCAGTGGATAGTTTGTGTAGGGGTTTATGAGATTGAAGTTCTTTCCTGTGCCTAGTTTGTCACTGAATTTTTTTAAATCATGAAAAGATACACTATGAAATATTTTTCTGTATCTTTTTTTTTTTAGTCACTTTCTTTTTTTCCCCATTAACTTTATTGGTGCATTTTAGGTATACAGTATAGTTATATTCATCATTGGGATCTTGTACCTTTACATGATGTATCTTGGTTCTTATTTTTTCCCCATTCCCCTGCCCTCCCTTCACCCCTCCACCCTTCCCTATTTACAGACACTTTGTTTCCATGTTTTTGCTTTTCTCTTATTTTTTCTTTTTCTTTTCTTTCCCCTACGCCTCCCACTTCCCCTACTCCTTAGACCTTTTCTTCCTATTTCACAATATCAATCATACATTTTGATCCTTATTTACACTTTTAGTTTTTCACACCAGAGAAACTATTCAGTATTTACACATGTGCGTTCTATTTATGTAACTTAAGAGTATGGCCTCAATGTGCATCCGCTTAACTAAAAATGTCTCTAGTTTCTCATTCTTTATGGCTGAGTGGTACTCCATTTTATAAAAAAACCACATCTTTATCCCGTCTCCAGTTGATGGGCATTTGGGCTGTTTCCAAGTTTTAGCTATTACAAATTGTGCCGCTATAAACATGGGTGAGCATATGTCACTGTGGTATGAATTAAAAGAATCATGTTTTTCTATATCTTACTGTGATTGTGTGATTGTTTCTTATTCTATTGACATTTGATATTACATTCATTGTTTTCCAGATAGTAAACCCACTTTGCATTCCTGGGGTAAATCTTACTTTCTCATTGTGTATAACTTTATGTTTTGCTCATTTTATATCTACAGTCATAAGAAATATTTTCTTTTTCTGTGATATATTTTTCTGGTTTATTGTTACAGTAATATTACCTTAGAGAATGAGTATGAAAGTGTTCTCTTATGTTAGTTGTACTTTAAAAATTTAATGAATAAATTTCTAGTGCATCTAATTTTGAGGATGTAATTGTTGATAGTATCCCCTTGTAATTCTTATTTTTTCTTTTTAAAAAATTTTATTAATTTGAATTTTCTCTTTTGAGTAGTCTAGCTAAAGATTTGTCAGGTTTTTTTTTAAAGAGCAAATTTTTGGTTTTGTTTATTTTTTTCTACTGTTTTCTAATTGATATTTTATTTACTTTATTCAAATCTTCATTGTTTCCTTGCTGCTGAATCTCCAGCTCCTGCCCCCAACTTTATTGTTTCCTTCCTTTGGCTCAATTTGGTTTCCTCTCAGTTTGATTTCCTTTCTTTTTCCATTTTTTAAAATGTTTTCATTTTTAAAGAAATTTACACTTGGTCCTATAAATTGATTTTTCTAGCTTTTCTTTGATATCAAACTGTATTGATTTGAAACCCTCCCCTTGCCCCTCCCCTCTTTTCCCTTCTTTTACTTCCTTCCCCTTCCCCCTCCCTCCCAAGTGGGTTTGAGCCCAAGGCCTTTGCACTGACCTTTATCCTTACCACCTTTTTGATTTTTTTGAGAACACTTTTGCTAAGTTGCCCAGGCCGGGCTTGAACTTATAATTCTCCTGTATCAGCCTCCCAGAGTGCTGGGATTGCAGGTCTGTGCCACTATGTCTAGCTGACTTCTCATTTCTTACTATATTTAATTTATTTTTTCTCTTTTGCTATGATAATGCATGC